ACAAGTAAGTGAGGGATTAAGAGATTAATTCCTAGGTTACATAGGTTGTAATCTAAAGTTGCTCAGTAGTGAAGTTGAAATCCTACAAGGGTGGGTCGTGGTTCGTTATCCCGTGAGCTGGGAATTTTCCAAGTAAAATTCCTTTGTGTCATTTACTTAGTGCAGTGTGCATGTGTCTTATGGTAACAAATAGAGAACCTGGTTCTCTATATAGTTTGATGGACCCTTAAATTCTCTCAATTGATACCAGAACGGGGTTCGTCTCTATCGAGGACTAACCACCTAAGGAAAGGTACTCCGACTAGTCGGCGTCGTCCGTCCCGAACCAAAACTAGTTAAAGGAAAAAACGGACGTACGTTACCTTAACNTTGATCGAAAGGCCATAAAAAAGAATTTTTGTGCAAAGAAAATTCTTGTTTATGGCATTGGTCCTGATGAATATAACAGGATAAAGGCATGCCAATCAGCAAAAGAAATCTAGGAAGCGCTTCAGACAGCTCATGAAGGAACAAAACAGGTCAAGCAATCAAAGATTGACATGCTTACAACTGAATATGAGCTTTTCAGGATGAAAGATGATGAATCCATCCAAGACATGCATACTCTTTCACTTCTATCATCAATGAGCTTCACTCTCTTGGAGAAATAATCCAAGAAACAAACTTGTCATAAAGATACTCAGTGTCCTGCCCAGCTCTTGGGAAAGCAAAGTGAACGCTATCACATAGGCAAAGTACTTTCAGAAGCTAATCATTGATGAGCTTGTCGGTAATCTGAAAACCTATGAATTGAAGAAGAAGAAGAAGAAGAAGAAGAAGAAGAAGAAGAAGAAGAAGAAGAAGAAGAAGAAGAAGAAGAAGGATAATAAGAGAAGAGAGCCCAAAAGGGAGAAGAACCTGATCCTCAAGACATACAGCAATGATTCAAGTGGAGAGGACGCTGATATGGCTTATTTGACAAAACGTTTCCAGAAGATGGTTCGCAGGAGTGGAGGCATTCCAAAAAGGGGAGCTCCAGCAAGCCAAAAGGTTATGACCTATGTCATAAGTGTGGTAAGCCAGGACATTTCATCAAGGATTGCCCTCTTCTAAAGCAAGATAAGTACAAAAACAACATTGACAAAGCAGCCAAGAGGAACCCGGTTCCTGATAAACGCTTTAAGAGGAAAAATGTCGCTGATGATGTTGTGAAGCAAGCTCTTGCTGCATGGGGAGACTCTTCCAGCGAGTCTAAAGAAGATGATGATCAAGGTAACAGCTCCATGATGGCAGCGGAAAACGAAGCAGCTGAGTATGACTCCATTTTTGCCTTGATGGCACAGTCTGATGATGATGGAGATGACGACGATGATGATGAGGTAAATTTTCTAGATGTTCAAAGAAATCTAACATCTTATTCTCCGAAAAAACATATGTAATTGGCAAATGTTTTAATTGATGCTTATCACAGTCTCATAAATGATAAAGATACATTAATTGTGGAACTAGGAGAAGTAGAACAGTCTAGAGATGATCTAGTAATCGTTGTGGTTGATTTAAAGGAAACAATTGAGAGTCTGGAGAAAGAAAAAGATGTCTTAGCTAAAAAAAATTGCAAACATAGAACATGAAAGAGACAATCTAGTGGTTGTTGTGGTTGATCTAAAAGAGACCATTGAGTGTGTTAAAAAAGAGAAAGAAGTTTTAATTGAGAGAGTCGCTAACATTGAACATGAGACAGATGACCTACTAGTGGTGGTAGATCTAAAGGAAATAATTGAGGAACTTAAAATGGAGAGTAGGCTTGGGAACATTCAAAAGGGAAAGGAAGTTGCAAGTGAGTCTCATCTTAAACTTGAAAATGAGTTAAAAATCAGTAAAATCTAGTCTGTGTACTGAGCTTGAGAAAAACAAACAACTTCAGGAAGAACTAGGAATAGTAAAGAGTGATCTTGAAAAATCACTCAAGTGGACTTGGTCCTCTGATGCTATCATTGCCATATACACAAACATTGGGGGAAACAGGCAGGGAATCGGGTTTCAAAGGAAAAAGACTCCCCACAACCCTCATAGCAAGTACGTCACTGTGCCTGACAATTGGCTATGCACTCACTGTGGTAACACTGGGCACTTTAAGGAAACCTGTAAGGCCAGATTCCAATCTCAACAGAAAAACAAAGTTTTTGCTGAAAAAGTAACTACTGCTAGGGAACCTGGTCCTTCACATAGAAAATGTATAAGTCCTGCTTGGACCAAAAGAGCCCTAATTCACCCCGTTCCTCATTACAAGGGACCCAAAACTTTTTGGGTTCCTAAATCTAACCCTTGATTTACTTGTGCAGGGAACAGTGAAAGGGAGCATCCAACAATGGTACATGGATAGCGGCTGCTCGAAGCACATGACTAGAAGTACAAATGATTTTCTTTCACTGAAAGCCCTGCAGGGGGGGGTGTATCCTTTGGAAAGGGAAAAAAGGGATACATTTTGGGAGTTGTAAGGATCGGGAAGTCTCTCTCTCTCTCTCTATTGAAAATGTGTACTATGTGAAGGGGTTGAAGAATAGCTTGCTGAGTATTTCCCAAATTAAGGGTAACAAAGTGGAATTTTGTCACGACCCAACTTTCCCTCCGTTTGGTTATCGTGATGGCACCAAGTCTTACGGACTAGGTAAGCCTTACTCATATTGAAATACCACAATAATAAATGAAATTTAACAGTCTTGAAGCAGAAATCTCTACAAAATTTATAATTCCCAAAACCCGGTAGTACAAGTCATAAGCTCTACAGAGTTTCGCTGCAACTTCTACACACAACCGTATGGAAATAAGTACAACAGTGTGAATATAAAATAGGAAGGTGACTCCGAAGCCTGCAAACGCAGCAGCAGGTTTACCTTGAGTCTCCTCGGCAAGAATCCGCTCAGCTACTAACATTCAATACCTGGATCTGCACAAAAAAACATGCAGAAGTGTAGTATGAGCACACGACAGTGGTACCCAGTAAGTATCAAGACTAACCTTGGTGGAGTGGTGACGAGGAACAATCAAGACACCCACTGGTCTAATAAGCAGAACAATTATAAGTATAGAAACAACCGAACATGATATCTATATAAAGACTAAGCGATATTGCTAACAATACAGTAACTACAATAAGGAAAGAAAATAGCAAGTAACAGCGGAACACCATAATAAAGCTCATAAAAGTGAACGAAAATACAACCCAAATTCGAAATCAGAAATACAGTAAGGACAAATCATAACTCACCAACTACGGCAGCTTTCACATTAGGTCATAGCCAACAACTTCAATCAATTAGTCAAATCTTTCAGTTGATAAAAACATTTCGAATTATATTTCCTTCAAGTAAATATTTTTCCAAAATAGTTCTCTAAAAATGAATACCTTTTGAATATAACCCTTTCAAATAAATATCCTTTGAATATAAGACACCCCGTGACACTTCATCTCATAATCATACAATACGTGTCTCAATACCTGAACCCTAAGACTTGGCATCATGTGTCCTCATCACACCTCATAATAATACTGACAACTCACGTGCCCAAAAGAGTCATTCTCACATAGAAGGAAAATAAACAAGGGTGTGCGTCTATACTCAGAAATCTCAAGGAGCATCCTATCTGATAAGGGTGCTTAGCCACGTGTATGCTTGTGCAAGTGTCCTAACATAGTTCATACCAGCTAGTAAGCATAAGGACAAGAACGCATAGCAGATATAAAATTTATACAGGGATAACATCAATGAATACAACAGCTCAGAACACAGTGATAATAACAGGGGTTCTCCCAGGATACCGTCCCGTAGTCCCAAACATAAATGTACAGAGAATCTCCCAGGATACCGTCCCGTAGTCCAAATCATAAATGTGCAGGGGGATCTCCTGGAATACCTTTCTGTAGTCCCAATGTAAATATCCAGTACAGGGGATCTCTCGGGATACCTTCCCGTAGTCCCAAACATAAATGTGCAAGGGGATCTCCCGTAATATCGTTTCGCAGTCCCAAAGTAAATATGCAGATCAGGGGGATCTCCTGGGATACCGTCCCGTAGTCCCAAACGTAAATGTGCAGGGGGATCTCCCGAAATACCGTTCCATAGTCCCAAAATAAATATGCAGCACAACCAAAGAGAATACAATTACAGCACGGCAGAAAACTCGTACATCACCAAAACATGTACAACAGCAACAATGACAATAATACAAGGTACGGCAAGTAACCCAACTCAAGAACTGTAAATCACGAAGAAACGATAGGACCAGCTCACAAGGAATAACCACGGAAAAGAATGTTGGCATAAAGTGAACAGTTCAACAAAGGGAAAACTAACATGTAGCAACGATCCCACAATACACAAGTCAATAACAAGGGAATCAACACGAGTCAAGTAGTCCCAAATAAAGGCAAGTCAGCAAAGATATGGGTTATCTAAACTCCATTTTAAGGTTGAACAAATACAAGGATATCCGACAATTCAATTAAGGAAAGATGATCTTAGCTTCATTTAAGACTAAACAATTATAGGAGGAGATGATGATAAATTCCCAATTAAGACAAGCAGCTATGAAAAGATAGCATGACAATAGGAGAAACGAAATTCTTTAGTTAAGTCAAATAGGAGTCAATTAGGCAATAAGAGTGAATCATGAAGCAATTAATTCCAATTAAGCATGTAGAGGTGAAACTAGTAAATCGGAAGCTCAGTCATGTAAAGAACACATTCATACACAGTGAATATAAAGACCTAAGAACCCTAAAGGCCAATTTTCCACAAATAAGTCCGAGCATGCACTCGTCACCTCGCGTACACGGACTACAATCACATAGAAGACTGAAATCCTAAGGGGAAGTCCCCCACACAAGGTTAGGCAAGATACTTACCTCGACTTGCTCCAATTTAATCCACTAGTAGGCCTTTTTCCTCGATTATCCAGTTATGAATGGCTGGAATCTAGCCAAAATAATTCGATACACTCAACAATTTATAGAATCAATTTCATAAGAAAATACTACATTTTCAATAAAAATCTGAAATTAACTCAAAATTCACCCATGGGGCCCACGTCTCGGATCCGACGAAAGTCACGGAATATTAAAGCCCATCCAATTACGAGTCTAACCATACCAAAATTACTAAATTACGATAACAATTCGACCCCCAAATCCTCAAATCTATCCAAGAGGGTTTTCAAACTTTTCCAACTTAAATCACAGATTAAATGCTAAAATTAGTAATAGATTCGGGTAATCTAACTAAAATTGAGTTAAGAACACATACCCCGTTGTTTTCTTGGAAAATCCCTCGAAAAATCGCCCTACCCGAGCTTCCTTGGTCCAACAATGGAAGAATGGGACGAATTTGGACTTTATTCTGCTGCCCAAGGGTTTGTTCTTCGCATTCGCGATGAACAAATTCCTCATCAGCGATGTCCAAACTTATTCCAGACAACCTTTAGTATAATGGTCATAACTGTTTGCACACAACTCCAAATGACAAACGGTTTGATGTTATAAAAACTAGACACCGAGGGCTATAGTTTCATAGGTTTCTCATTTCCTAAGTCATTATATATTGCGAGATATAAGCTTCCAAAGTCAACCCTGTGCAGCAGAGATTTTCGAACTCTCCTCGGAAAGCCTACAATGTAACTACGATAACTATTTGTACACAAATCTAAATGCCAATTAATTTACATTTCTGAAAACTAGACACAAAGTGATACAACTTTCTTTTTTGGATCATCTCGAATTTTTTTATAGATTGTGAGATATGAGCCTCCAAAGTCAGACCTGTGCAACCGAGATTTCCTTATTCGAAAACGCGAGAGTCTCTCCGCGAACGCGAAGAACAAACTTCCAAAAGCCAAATTCTTCTTCGCGAACGCGAAGAACAACCCCAGATATCATAAAATCAGCGTCAAAATAGCCCAAAATGATTTGAAACACACCCGAGTCCCCGAGGACCCCAACCAAATATACCAACAAGTCCTAATACATGATACGGACTTGGTCGAAACTTCAAATCACATCAAACAACGCTAAAGCCACGAATCACACCCCAATTCAAGCTTAATGAAACTAAGAACTTCCAACTTCTATATTTGATGCCGAAACTTATCAAATCAAGTCCGATTGACCTCAAATTTTGTACACAAGTCATAAATGACATAACGGAGCTAGGAAAATTTTCAGAACTGGATTCCAACCCCGATATCAAAAAGTCAACTCCCGATCAAACTTCCAAACTTAAATTTCTTATTTTTGCCATTTCAAGCCTAATTTAGCTACTGACCTCGAAATAAATATCCGAACACACCCCTAAATGCGAAATCACCATACGGAGCTATTGGAATCATCAAAAATTTATTCCGGGATCGTTTACACATATTTTACCTTCCTGTCAAATTATTCAACTTAAGCTTTCTTCTTGGAGACTAAGTGTCTCAATTTATTTCAAAACCTCACAGGACCCGAACCAATTACCCCGGCAAGTCACATAACAACTATAAAGCATGAATTTAGCAGTAAATGGGGAAACGGAATTGTATTATTCAAAATGGCCGGCCGGGTCATTATATCCTCCCCCTCTAAAACAGACATTCGTCCTTGAACGTGCCAAGATTCGCCTTGAATTACTCAAATCACTGAATGCACACTTCCAACATACACCCGCGGGTGATCCCACGTCACCCCAATCCACATAAGCTTGACGATACGCTCTCAACTGAAATTTAGCCTTTCTACCAATACCAATAAGCATTTGAGCCAAAATTCTCACCTTCCATTCATTTCCAAGAGACCCGATTCTAAATCCTTATCCGGTATCAGTCTCAACTAGCTGCAACCACATAGTACGACCACACAACATACACACCAAACATAGGCCTATAATAACATTTCTGATCACAATACCTGCCAGAAATCAAATCTTGCACCGGCCACTAGCCTCATATCCGATAGGACTTTGTTTCAAACCTCCATAACACTGACAATGATTCAAGAAACACGAAGGCCTCATAATCAAACACCCAAATCAACAAGTCACAACTAACACCACCGAGCACACACCGCAAGCTTTAACTAAAGAAGCACAGACCAAAAATGACTGAATATGAAAAGAGAAACACATAGGAGAATGATCAAACAAGCCCGACAGGCACAACTCTCTATCAGTACCAACCTACAAAATAACATAACAAGAAAAGAATTAAAGCATATGAACAATTCACAAGGATCTCATACTGGTATAACTTCCACCGCGGTACACAGCTCGGTTCAAACACATCAAATCACATGAAATCACGAGGGTCTTACCCTCAACTCTGAATCAATAGTAGGATATATATCAAACCAGCTGGAAACTTTCACTAGACCGATTTTTGTCACAAATTACAATAAGTACTGGCTCCCATACCGGTGGAGCATAAAAATCACAGCTCGTAGCCAAAAATACTCAGAAATCACATCAAGCCTACCGAAATGGACAATAGGAATTTACTACTAGTCTCATAACTCTCGATAATGAATAAAAACAGACGATAGACATGGCTATCACTCATAGAATCTCCCAACAGGGTAACACATAAATAGAGTGCAAATCATGGAACGCACCCATAAGTGGAGCAACAAATAGAGGAACTCACCCCGATAAGCAGAACTGTAATGAACTACGGATGGTGCTCCTCTATAACAAATCAAAATCATACCTAAAAGACATCATCTGGCGCAACGGCCTTAAGCCTACTATATGAAACGGGCTGGGCCTCCCCCTCTTAGGTGCCCTCTACTCACCTGAATACCATGCTGTGACACATCTGCCCGAAATCTGGGGAAATCTCTCACCATGTGGCTAGTATCTCCACACTCAAAGCAACCCCTCTACTGACGTGGCTGTGGGAACTTGCGGTACGGGTACTCTGAGACCCCTGAACACTTGAATCACTGTGTGAAGCCTAAAGCGCAAACTGAACTGGCTGACCCACGAAACCTGCACTATGTCGCACCCTGCCTCCAGAATAAGTGCCAGCAGATCTCTCCGGTCTACGAGGCCTCCTCTCCTCCCCGTACTCTCTTTTTCTCCTGATCTCGTTTGTCCTCTCGCTCCCAGTTTCACATGCCCATTAACCGGCGAGCGATCCCTACCACCTGCTAAGACAAAACATCTGACTCCAACTCTCGAGCCATGCTAAACCGAATATCATGGCTGAGCCCCTCAATGAATCCACGGACTCGCTCTCTTACTGTAGCGACCAAGGCAGGTGCATGTCTGGCCAAATCGTTGAATCTGACGGCATAATCTAATACTGACAGGGTACCCTGACCCGGCTGCTCAAACTCCGTGCTCCATGCATCCCGAAGTGATTGAGGTACAAACTCTCTCAAAACATCTCTGAAAACTAAACCCATGTAAATGAAGCTGCATCGGTCGGCTACCCAACTCATATGCCTGCCACCACTGATAAGCCACTCCCTTAAGCTGGAACGTAGTAATAGCAACTCCTCTCGTCTCAACAATACCCATAGTAGGGAGAATGCGATGGCACTCCTCAATAAACCCTGTGCGCTCTCTGAAGCCCAACCACTGAATGTAGAAGGGTCACAGTCCTTGAACCTTGCAAATCTAAATTGCCCTTCCTCAAATGTTGTTGCCCTATCTATGAGCTGAACTGGGACCATAGGTTGTGTCGCCCTGACGCCTGGAACCTGACAAACGTGAACTTGCTGCTTTGGAATGTGGTCTAGCTGCGGTACATATTCCTCGTCGGCCTCTGCCTCTGCCTCTAGCAACACCTGCTCCGGGAGAAGCGTCGTCGATAACTGCAGCTCGTGTCCTCACTGTCGGTGAGAGAATGGAATGATAAAAGTTCAAACTCCGAGATCAATAAGCTCGCACGATAGGAATGAAAGAAGTGAGATTGTCCTAATAGATCCGTAGCCTCTCGAAGATAAGTACAGACGTCTCCGTACCGATCCGCAAGACTCTACTAAACTCGCTTATGACTCGTAGCACCTATGAACCTAGAGCTCTGATATCAACGTGTCACGACCCAACTTTCCCTCCGTTTGGGCATCGTGATGGCACCTAGTCTTACGGACTAGGCAAGCCTAACTTATACTGAAATACCACAATAATAAATGAAATTTAACAGTCTTGAAGTAGAAATCTCTTCAAAATTTATAATTCCCAAAACCCGGTAGTACAAGCCATAAGCTCTAAAGAGTTTCACAACAACATCTAAACATAACCATATGGAAATAAGTACAACAGTGTGAATATAAAATAGGAAGGTGACTCCAAAGCCTGCGAACGCTGCAGCAGGTTTACCTTGAGTCTCATCTGCAAGGATCCGCTCAACTACTAACAATCAATACCTGGATCTGCACAAAAGAATGTGCAGAAGTGTAGTATGAGCACACCACAGCGGTGCCCAGTAAGTATCAAGACTAATCTCGGTGGAGTAATAACGAGGAACAGTCAAGACACCCACTGGTCTAATAAGCAGAACAAGTATAAGTATAAAAACAACGGAACAGGATATCTATATAAAGGCTAAGCGATATTGATAACAATACAGTAACTGCAATAAGGAAAGAAAACAGCAAGTAACAGTGGAACACCATAATAAAGCTCATAAAAGTGAACGAAAATACAACCCAAATTCGAAATCACAAATACAATAAGGACAAGTCATAACCCAGCAATTACGACAGCTTTCACATTAGGTCATAGCCAACAACTTCAATCAATTAGTCAAATCTTTTAGTTGATAAAAGTATTTCGAATTATACTTCCTTCAAGTAAATATTTTCCAAAATAGTTCTCTAAAAATGAATACCTTTCGAATATAACCCTTTCAAATAAATATCCTTCGGATATAAGTCACCCTGTGACACTTCATCTCATAATCATGCAATACGGGTCTCAATACCTAAACCCTAACACTTGGCATCCGGTGCCCTCATCACACCTCATAATCATACTGACAAATCACGTGCCCAAAAGAGTCATTCTCACATGGAAGGAAAATAAACAAGGGTGTGCGTCTATACTCAATAATCTCAAGGAGCCTCCTATCTGATAAGGGTGCTTAGCCACGTGTATGCTTGTGCAAGTGTCATAACATAGTTCATACCAGCTAGTAAGCATAAGGACAAGAACGGACAGCACATATACTGTTTACACAGGGATAGCATCAATGAAAACAATAGCTCAGAACACAGTGATAATAACAGAGGATCTCCCAGGATACCGTCCCGTAGTCCCAAACGTAAATGTACAGAGGATCTCCCGGGATACTGTCCCATAGTCCAAATTATAAATGTGTAGAGGGATCTCCCGGAATACCGTTTCGAAGTCCCAAAGTAAATATCCAGTACAGGGGGATCTCCCGGGTTACCGTCCCGTAGTCCCAAACATAAATGTGCAAAAGGATCTCCTGGAATATCGTTCCGTAGTCCCAAAGTAAATATGCAGAACAAAGGGATCTCCCAGGATACCTTCCCGTAGTCCCAAACGTAAATGTGTAGGGGGATCTCCCTAAATACCGTTCCGTAGTCCCAAAGTAAATATGCAGCGTAACCAAAGAGAATACAATTACAGCACGACAGAACTCGTAGATCACCACAGCATGTACAACAGTAACAATGACAATAATACAAGGTACGGCAAGTAAATCAACTCAAGAACTGTAAATCATGAAGAAACAGTAGGACCAGCTCACAAGGAATAACAACATAAAGAATGCTGGCATAAAGTAAACAATTAACCAAAGGGAAAACTAACATGTAGCAATGATCCGACAATACACAAGTCAAAAACAAGGGAATCAACACGAGTCAAGTAGTCCCAAATAAAGGTAAGTCAACAAAGATATGGGTTATCTAAACACCTCTTTAAACTTGAATAAATACGAGGATATCCGACAATTCAATTAAGGAAAGATGATCTTAGCTTCACTTAAGACTAAACAGTTATAGGAGGAGATGATGATAAAATCCCAATTAAGACAAGCAGCTATGAAAAGATAGCATGACAATAGGAGAAACGAAATTCTGCAGTTAAGTCAAATAGGAGTCAATTAGGCAATAATAGTGAAATAGGAGTCGATTAGGCAATAGGAGTCGATTAGCCAATTAAGCATGTAGAGGTGAAACTAGTAAATAGGAAGCTCAGTCATGTCAAGAACACAATCATACATAGTGAATATAAAGACCTAAGAACCCTAAAGGCTAATTTTCCACAAATAAGTCCGACCATGCACTCGTCACCTCGCGTACACGAACTACAATCACATAGAAGACTCAAATACTAAGGGGAAGTTCCACACACAAGGTTAGGCAAGATACTTACCTCGACTTGCTCCAATTTAATCCACTAGTAGGCCTTTTTCCTCGATTATCCAATTCTGAATGGCTCGAATCTAGCCAAGATAATTCGACACAGTCAACAAAATTTATAGAATCAATTTCACAAGAAAATACTACATTTTTCAATAAAAATCCGAAATTAACTCAAAATTCGCCCATGGGGCCTACGTCTCGGAATCCGACGAAAGTCACGGAATATGAAAGCCCATCCAATTACGAGTCTAACCATACCAAAATTACTAAATTCCGATAACAATTCGACCCCCAAATCCTCAAATCTATCCAAGAGGGTTTTCAAACTTTTCCAACTTAAATCAGAGATAAATGCTAAAATTAGTAATAGATTCAGGTAATCTAACCAAAATTGAGTTAAGAACACTAACTCCATTGTTTTCTCTGAAAATCCCTCAAAAAGTCGTCCCACCCGAAGTTCCTTGGTCCAAAAATGGAAGAGTGGGATGAATTTGGACTTTATTCTACTGCCCAGGGGTTTGTTCTTCGCGTTCGCGACCCTTTTCTCGCGTTTGCGATGAACAAATTCCTCATCAGCGATTTCCAAACTCATTTCAGACTGCCTTTAGTATAATGGTCATAACGATTCGCACACAACTCCAAATGACAAATAGTTTGATGTTCTGAAACCTAGACACCAAGGGCTATAGTTTCATATGTTTCTCGTTTCCTGAGTCATTATATATTGCGAGATATAAGATTCCAAAGTCAACCCTGTGCAGCAGAGATTTTCAAACTCTCCCCGGACAACCTATAGTGTAACTACCATAATTTTTTGTACACAAATCTAATTGCCAATTAATCTACATTTCTGAAAACTAGACACGAAGTTCTACAACTTTCATTTTTGGATCATCTCCAAATTCTTTATAGATTGTGAGATATGAGCCTCCGAAGTCAGACCTGTGCAATCGAGATTTCCTTCTTCGCAAACGCGAGAGTCTCTCCGCGAACGCAAAGAACAAACTTCCAAAAGCCAAATTCTTCTTCGCGAACGCGAGAGGCTCCATGCGAACGCGAAGAACAACACCAGTTATCAGAAAATTAGCGTACAAAGTAGGCCAAAATAATTCGAAACACACCCGAAACACACCCGAGTCCCCTGGGACCCCAATCAAATATACCAACAAGTCCTAAAACATGATACGGACTTGGTCGAAACTTTAAATCACATTAAACAATGCTAAAACCGCAAATCACACCCCAATTCAAGCTTAATGAAACTAAGAACTTCCAACTTCTATATTTGATGCCGAAACCTATCAAATAAAGTCCCATTGACCTCAAATTTTACACACAAGTCATAAATGATATAACGGAGCTAGGAAAATTTTAGGAACTGGATTTCGACCCCGATATCAAAAAGTCAACTCCCCGGTCAAACTTCCAAACTTAAATTTCTTATTTTCGCCATTTCAAGCCTAATTTAGCTACGGACCTCGAAATAAATATTCGGACACACCCCTAAACCTGAAATCACCATACGAAGCTATTGGAATCATCAGAAATTCATTCTAGGGTCGTTTACACATATTTCACCTTCCGGTTAAATTATTCAACTTAAGCTTTCTTCTTGGAGACTAAGTGTCTCAATTCATTTCAAAACCTCTCCGGACCCGACCAATTACCCCGGTAAGTTACATAACAACTGTAAAGCATGAATTTAGCAGTAAATGGGGAAATGAGATTGTATTATTCAAAATGACCGGCCGGGTCGTTACAAATTTGTATCCAAAATATGCACAGTCACAAATCTTGTGACTGGTGAAGTGTTGTTAGTGGCCAAAAGATACAAAAACATCTATGTGGTTAACTTTGAGTCCCTGCAAAATGGAGATCTTAGTTGTTTCAGTTTTTTTGATTATAATGTTAAGATGTGGCATAGAAGTCTGGGTCATGCAAGTTTCACGTTGCTGAACAAATTGGTAAAGAAGGACCTGGTTCGTGGTGCCCAAGTCAAGCTTAAAGGATCACAGCGTGTGTTATGCATGTGCAAAAGGAAAGCAAGTCAAATCATCTTTCAAGCCCAAAAAGGAAGTAAGCACCTCAAGGCCACTTGATCTCCTCCATATGGATCTATGTGGACCTATGAGGGTGCCAAGTAGAGGAGGAAAGAGGTACATATTTGTCATAGTGGACGACTATTCCAGATTCACTTGGACTCTATTTCTCAGAATCAAGGATGAAACCTTTCAAGTGTTTGTGACATTTGTGAAGAAGATCCAGGTGAAGATGAGCCTTAATGTAGTATGTATCATGTCTGACCATGGTACATAATTTGACAATGCAAAATTCGACGAATTTTGTGCTGAAAATGGCATCACTCACAACTTCTCAACTCCCAGAACACCTCAACAAAATAGTGTTGTGGAAAGGAAGAATAGAGTGCTTGAAGACATGGGAAGAACAATGTTGATTGACAGTGGCATTGCAAAAGGGTTCTGGGCATAAGCCGTCAATACTGCATGCTACTAGGTGAACAGGTGCATGATCAGGTCCCTTCTGAACAAGACGCCATATGAACTGCTGAACGGAAGGAAGCCCAAGCTGACGTATTTGAGAACATTTGGATGCAAATGTTTTGTCCTCAACAATTGGAAGGAAGCACTTGGAAAATTCGACGCCAAAAGCAATGAGGGAATCTTTCTAGGCTATTCATCACAAAGAAAAGACTACAAAGTATATAACAAAAGAACTAAATGTGTTGAGGAAAGCATTCATGTGATCTTCAATGAATCTTATGACCTCTGTGGAAAGGATTTGAATGATAAGAATGATCAAGACGGAGAACAGTCACTTGTCCCTAGTGAAATTATTGACATGGCAAATGGAAAGGCTGATATGATGAGCCACATTAAGGAATCAAATGAGGATGGTGCAACCATATCTCCAACTGATGGAGAGGAACATGGTCCCTCAATCACAACAACTGAAGCTGAAAATAGAGTTGTCGATGCTGTTCAAGGGACCCCACACGCTGAGATGAGAACCAATCAAGGTTCACAGGTAGAAGTACCTGAACCTTCTCACAATGAGGTTCGGGTGTCTAACTAGAAACACAAAAGTTCACACCCCCTTGATAACATAATCACTCCTCTTGATTCAGGAATTCAAATCATATTAAAGACCAGAAACTCACTTGCCTTCTCAGCTTTTCTCTTTCAAATAGAGCCCAAAAATATCAAAGAAGCATTGAAAGATGGTGATTGGATTACAGCCATACAGGAGGAACTCCATCAATTTGAGAGGAACAAGTTATGGCACCTAGTTCCTCGACCTGCAGATCGAACCGTTATATGAACCAGATGGGTATTCTGGAAAAAACTTGATGAGTTTGAAAACACATTAAGAAACAAGGCAAGGCTTGTAGTTCAAGGCTACAATCAGGAAGAGGGGATTGACTATGATGAAACTTTTGCCCTAGTCACTTGAATGGAGGCTATCAGAATTCTTATTGCCTTTGTATCACATATGGAATTCACATTGTTCCAAATGGATGTCAAAAGTGCATTTCTGAATGGCTTTCTAAAAGAAGAAGTCTTCGTCAAGCAGCCTCCTGGATTTGAGAATCATGAGCATCCTGAGCATGTTTTTAAACTTGACAAGGCCTTGTATGGGTTAAAGCAGGCTCCTCGTGCTTGGTATGAAAGGTTGTAAAAATTCCTTCTAGAAAATGGCTTTACAAGAGGGAAAATCGACAACACTCTCTTTCTGAAGAAATGAGGAAGGAACCTGCTCATTGTGCAAGTCTATGTTGATGATATCATTTTTGGAGCAACAGTTGATTCCCTATGTGAAGAATTTGCAAAACTCATGGGAAGTGAGTTTGAAATGAGTATGATGGGGGAACTAAACTTCTTCTTGGGTCTACAAGTGAAGCAATCTCAAAAGGGATAAGTCAGCAGAAGTACATCAAGGAGCTGCTGAAGAGATTTGACATGGAAACATAAAAAATCATTGACACTCATGTTGCCACAGCTACTCGTCTAGACATGGATGAACCTGGTTCCCCTGTAAACCAGACCACGTATAGAGGCATCATAGGGTCACTCTTGTATCTCACTGCAAGCATACCAGATATTGTGTTCAGCGTGGGTCTCTGTGCAAGGTGTCAATCTAATCCAAATGAATCTCATCTGAAGGCTGCCAAATGAATATAGAGATATCTCAAAGGAACGCAGGACCTGGTGCTCTACTATCCCTCAGGAGACAACTTTGATCTTGTTGGGTATGCTGATGCTGATTATGCAGGATATCTGGTGGACATGAAAAGCACGTCTGGAATGGCACATTTTCTGGGTTCCTATCTAATCTCATGGGTACAAGGAAGCAAAACTGCAGAAGTGAAATATGTAGCATTGCTTCTTGCTCTGCTCAATTGCTGTGGGTCAAACAATAGTTGGAAGACTTTGGAGTGTTCTCTGACTGTATACCCCTCATGTGAGACAATACAAGTGCACTCAACATGGCCTAAAATCCAGTCCAGCATAAGAGAACCAAGCACATTGATGTGCGTCACCACTTCCTCAGAGACAATGTTGAAAAGGGGCTCATCAATATGAAATTATGTAGTACAGAAGATCAGATTGCAGATATATTCACCAAAGCCTTGAGCAGAGAATATTTTGAAAGAAATCGCCTGGCACTAGGGTTGATAAAACCGGACTGAGAACCTGGTCCCTCGATGATTGGCTATGAAAGAACTGTCCAAGTAAAGTTAGCTAAAAAGTGTTTTCTGGCAAAGTCTAACTCATCTCTATACCGTTACAGGTAGACATGCATGATGATTACAGAGCAAATAAGCAGTTGATGCATTGCACGCTGATATAAAGGGAAAAGTTTACTCGTACAAGATTCGTCAGGGAACCTGGTTCTCCTGACACAAGATAGTAGTTTCTCCGTTCCCTCATGCATAATTTTGAACGGATAAAATAGTGCCACGTCATCAGTGTGTCACTTTCTTTTCTCTGCGTCTTTTGAACCCAAACGTCTCGCCCGTTGGTAAGCGACCTGACTCCCAAAATTGTCGCCTTTTCTTAACCGGTCCCTCATCCATCTTAAATACATCCATCACCGTCACATCAAACTTCAAAATTTTCCTTCTTCTTTCTCTCTTGAAACTACCAATCCCTCCTCTTTGACTCATCATTTCTCACCATGACTGAGAATCAAGAAACCTCAAGTGCTCCAAGTAACACCCTCATTGAGTCCTCACCAGTTAAAACACTGATGTTAGACTCCTCACTCAACATCACTACTATCCAAAACCCTAGGGCAGCGTCACCCCCACACTTAGTCTCCTATCTTACCCAATCGAATTCTGTTCTCATCGGAGCCGCAAAATCTCGACTCCTAAAAGGTTTATGGCTATGAGCTCTCCTCCTGCCTCACTGGAAAAACTAGGTGAAAAACGTAAAGTTGACGAAGAGGGAAATCAGGAAATCGGAGTCTTCCTATGGACGAAGGCTCAAATGTAGGCCAAACTGTTGGTTCTGAGAATGCAGACTCAACAAAAAGTTACTAATCTTCAGTCCACAGGTAACACTCCTCCTTCCCATGCGTTTTCCATGGATTTACAAGTGAAAGAAGCAATAGAAAACATGTTATCTATAGCTGGTGAAGGGGTTATTATCGAAGGAGGTGAGGATAGGTCTGAGCCTCAGGGGGAAGCGTCTAAGACCTTGGTAGAAGGACCTGATCCCTTCTCGGAGGATCCAACTCAGGGGTTCTCTCAAGAGCCCCAGGTCAGTACTGATCCTGCTCCCACTCCTCATTTTTATGCTGAGCCTTTGTATGTGGTGGTGCTTGAGATGAGATCTGTATTTGGTGAAGAGCATGGAGATAGTGAAGAGGATTTTGGTGATATAGCTATTGCTAGCTTTATCTGGGCTAGACGTACCAGTTGCCACTCCAGAGCCAACTCCTAAGCCACCCATTACAAGGTTGCAAAAGAAGGACGCTCTTGAGTCCGCTCATAAGAAAAGTCAAGTCAGTCAAAGGAGGAGGAAATTGGTGAAGGATGGAAAGGCTGTGCATGATAAGGTAGTACATGTTGTCACTGTGGATGATGAAGTGGACGAGGAACCTGGTTCCTTGACTCACAAGAGCTCACAAAAGCACTCTCTCTCCAAGTCTAAAGAGAAATCTTTGGTGAGTATTGAGAGTCCAAACAAGAGTGATGATGTTATCTCTAGTGAAAACTTGGTGAAAGAATCTGGTGACAAGATAGTTGAAGAAAGTGGTGGAAGATATGGTAACAAGGGGATGGAAGATGTTGGTGAACACGTGTCTGAGAAAATAGTGTTTACACAATCCGTTGTGCATGGGAAAATATTCGCATGTCTGTGAAAAGGAAAGTTGATGTCGATGAGGAACCTGGTTCTCCCAAGAAGGCCAAAATTGGTGATCCCCAGAGTACTGGGAAAGAGAAATTGAAAAATCAAAAAGTGCTAAGGGGCTGCACATTTGCCCCTAACATTTTGGAGGAGGCTGGAATGCGACAATTGGTTGAAATTTGTGAGTTTCAACAGTGGACACACTTGTTCACAGGAGATTCTCCCAAAGTATATGAGGAGGAAGTGCGTAGCTACTATGCTGACTTCTTCAAAGTTGATGATGACCATATCTGCATGATGGTGAATGGGGTGGATTTTGTGATGGATTTTGCGGTGCTGGGGTCTATTCTGAATGTACCTGCTAAAGGATTGTCTATTGTTCAAGGCTCATGCACTCCAAATTTTAGAAATGCTATAGTCAAGGATAAGGCAGTCCAACAGGGGGAACGGGTGCACAAGAAGGCTCTCCTTTCAGTGTACCAATTGTTGTTTGAGATGGTGAATAAGGTTTTTCTCCCTCATGCTGAGAGAAGGTCCATGGCATCCATAGCTTACCTGGTTCTCATAGAAGCGCTGGATGGCTTCACTACCATTAACCTGCCTGGGATTATGATTGAACATATGCAGAAAGTGGCAGAATTCAAAGATGGTAATCATGGGATGCCTTATGGGTTCCTTCTCACCAAGGTTTTTGAGTTATTCAAGGTCCCTCTAGGACAAGCTAAAGTGAGTGCTAGGAAGCACACCTTCTTCAAGACTACTCTCGAAGAATGTGAGTGCATTGATAAGGCTGGAGGAGTTGGAAGCACTATACCATCTCTCAGCTGATCAACGCTCAGAACAATGCTACGGAGGAGATCAGAAAGTTAAAAGCAAGGAATGTTATTCTTGATGGTCAGCTCAGTCAGCTTCAAGAGGCACTTGGTTCCAGTAGTTCTCAAAGCTCAGAGGTTGCCCGTATGACTAAGGAGAATGTTGAGCTTAAGAAACAAGTGGAGGACCTGAAGGAGAAACTGCTCAATGAGCAAATGTCGGCGAATGATCGAATGGATCTAGTCCTCCAAACTCTTGCCTCTACCTCTAAGCCCTCTCCTTCAAGTGCTCCCTAGACAGTGTCCCCTTAGTGTCAAGTCTTAAGTGTCGGTCTCTTATGCTACTTTATGATGATGTTTGTGGTACTTGTTTTTTGTTTTTGTTCTGAATTCTGGATGGTTGTTAGCAACATTGAATCTGCTCCCTGTCTTAAAATCCAAATTGTTTAATGGAAGCTTTTCCCTTTTTGCTATATATGCCTTGCTTTTATGCTATATTTTTTGTCATGCTATGTGCACATAATTGGAATGATTTAACTCAAGCTAGACTTCTTTTTGCTTAAAGCCTGTAACTAATCTTTTTATGTTGCCAAAAGGGGGAAAAATAATTCAGAGGGACTAGGATGGGAAACAGATTCAGGGGGAATACGGCAAATGGCAATGTCATTCTGGTTCTTAGGGGGAACTTGAATTATTAAGTTTGTCATCATCAAAAAGGGGGAAATTGATAGGTTATATGTGTATACTTGTTTTGTTTTGATGGTCTAACAAACATATTGATAAGAACCAGATAAGGAACCTAATACACATACTCAAGAACTTAAAGATCAACCAGTCTCCAGTTGGGGACACAGTTCAACTCTTCAGAGTCAAAGGAACAGTAGAGGGAGCAGATAGCAACCAGTTCCCGAGGGGACTGTACAAGTCAACTGCCCCAGTTGTAAAGTTGCTGCCTGCACATGCTACAGTATCGAAACAGTGCAGCAGTTACCTTTATGGGGAATGCCCTTTACCTAACTTGCTTACATCATTCAAAGTGATGTCACAAATGAATTATTAACATCAAGCAAGGTAAATCACTTGCACATTCAAGAATTGAAAAAGCATTCTCTCAAGTTATCCATCAATCTTGCAAGTGACTCTCCAAGGCATCAAGAACAAAGAACAACATAGCAACTGACTAGTTCCCCGTATTGTTATATGGCCTTAGTTGTGTTGTACCTTTGTTGAAGTTCTTTACTTGTAATTCCTACTTAGCTTAGTTAGAAGCATTGCGTAGGAAACCCCTTTGTAAATCATAAACCCTTGTGTTTGTGCCTTGGCTAGAGTTAGTCGAGTTGTAAAGTCTTTGTAATAGAGTTATTACAAAATGGCTTGTAATAGAGTGTTACAAGTTAGTGAGTGATTAAGAGTTAATTCCTAGTTTACATAGGTTGTAATCTAAAGTTTCTCAGTAGTGAAGTTAAAATCCTACAAGGGTAGGTCGTGGTTTTTTATCCCGTGAGCTGTGATTTTCCGCGTAAAATTCCTCTGTGTCATTTACTTACTGCAGTGTGCATATGTCTTGTGGAAACAAATAGAGAACTTGAATCTCTATATAGTTTGGTGGCCCCTTAAATTCTATCATGAAGGCGACAGAAGAAGAGCGAGCTTGTAAACAGAAAATGAGAATTCATTATCCTTTGTATTTTAATAACAATAAAATGGGTATATCCTAATTCTTAGATCTTTGAAGGCAAGAGAAGATGAGAGAGCTTGGAAAGTGAAAATGAGAATGCATTTGTCAAGAAGTAGGTACATTGTAGAAGTTAGCTAGACGGTTAGAAGTTAGTTAGTGGGTTAGTGTACAACTGTCAACAACTATTATTTTATTCTTAAGGAGTTAGTAGTTAGTGATGTATGTATATATTATATATACATGTACAGTACATGCTTAATATGAGATTCGATATTTTCCTAAAGGCAGCTCTCTTTCTTTCTTCTTCCTACTTTGTTCCTTCTTTGCTTCTCCAATGGTTGTACCTCTTTAACATGGTATTTGAGCACGGCTCAACTCCAATGAGTTCAACAATGGGGGACGATTGAGGAGAAGGTACAATTGAGCTGTTTCGAATCCAGAATTTGCTTCATTTGCTTCAAAATACAGCTAAAGATACAACTTCTTCTTCAACATAGGGTTTGCTGATTTTGAGCAAATTCCACAATTTCTCTAAATTCCTGCAACAATTGAGTGAGTAATTCTCTTCAATTTACAAATCTACGAAGTTACTACGGCAATTAATGAAAACAAATCTATTTTGACTACTATTACATCGTCACCATCAGATACTCAGAACCTCGACTTAGTTCATCAGAATCATCCTTTGTATATTCATCCTTCTGATACTCAAGGTGTTGTTCTTATCTCAATTCAACTTCGAGGTTAGGAAAACTATTCTCTTTGGAGTTGATCTATGAATATTGTGTTGCATGGCAAAAACAAGTTAGGTTTTGTGCTAGGAACCTGTATGAAGGAGCTATATGATGCGAGTCTTCATGAACTCTGGATCGATGTAATGCTATTGTTTTGGCATGGATAATGAACATTGTTACTCCAAATTTATTAAGTATTGTAATCTATGCCTCCAATGCACATAAGGTCTGGGAAGATCTTCGTGAGAGATTTGATAAAGTGAATACTTCTAGATCATTCTACCTTCATGAGGAGATTGCAAAGCTAACTCGAAATATGCTAACTTTATCTGAATATTTCTCGAAACTTAGGGAGCTATGGGATGAATATGAAGCCCTAGCTCCTCATCCTTCATATGGATGCCATGAATCCAAGCAGCATGCAGAACACTATCTACTACAGAAATTGTATCAGTTTTTGACTGGTCTAAATGACTCCTTTGATAATGCTAAAGATCAGATTCTTATGATTCGACCACTTCCAAATGTTAACGAAGCCTATGCTATGATCTTAATGTTGAGAGTCAAAGGAGAAACAATGCAGCACTGAGTGCTGGCATTGGTAATTCTGCAGCACTGATGAGTAAGGCAAGCTTTGGGAATGGAAATAGTACTTTCAAACCTAGAAACAATCTTGGGAGGTCTACACTAAAATGTGACTACTGTCACCTGAAAGGTCATACCAAGGATTCCTACTATAAGCTCCATGGATATCCTGGTGATTTCAAGGCCAAGAGAAGAGGTTATTTAGGTCCTCAGGTGAACAATGCATCCACTGCTCGAGGATTCCAAACTCCTGATCCTCCTCCTCAGTTTTCCTCCCCTGCTCCAGTTTTTACTCAAGACCAGTATGATCAAATCCTGCAAATGCTGAGCAAAGGAAAGAAGGTCGAATATGTGGAAAATGCAGCAACTATGAACAACACAGGTACCATAACAGCCTTCATGTCTCGTCTAGTTTATGATAACAGGATAGTAGACACAGGGGACTCCAATCATATGGTACATAACTCCCAGCTACTAAGTGAAATCAAGGATCTGACTAATATAGATAATAACAAAGTTCTTTTTCCTAATGGTGAGCAGATTGCTATTGGTCATACTGGTGTTTCCACAATCTTCAAAACTAAATCATTATAGAATGTCTTAAACATTCCAGACTTCAAATACAACTTGCTTTCAATCTCAAAGCTTACAAAGGAGTTGAGATGCCTTGTTGTATTTTTTCCTGATTTCTGTCTTTTTTATGATCTCTTGAGTGGAAGGTAATGTGGATTGTAAGGAAGAGCTTGGGCTCTATATCCTGAAGCTAGATGTCTCTAAGGACTCAGTGCAGCTGCAGGATGCAAAGCCAAGTACCAGTCTAGTATCTTCTGTAAATACCGTCTCTAGTTCTAGTAAAAGTAAGGCAGTCCATACTAAGTCTACTGAGAGTTGAATTGTCTTTGTGGAACAAGAGACTAGGGCATGCACCTCTGAAAGTTCTACAAAAGATTAGTAGTTTACCACATATTCCTATGCAAGATCACCATTGTACAATGTGTCATATTGCTAAGCAATCTGGACTGTTATTTCCTCACAGTATTTCTTGTTTTACTCATCCTTTTGAACTTGTGCATGCTGATGTCTGGGGACCATACAGGGTCCCAACTCATGATGATAAGAGATATTTTATGACATTGGTACATGATTTCTCCAAATACACCTGGCTCTCTTCTTAATGAATACTAAAGCAGAATCTACTGTTGTGTTGTAAATATTTTTAACACTAGTTCAGACTTAATTTGATAACAAGGTTAATGTCTCAGGTCTGACAATGGTACTGAGTTCTTTAATGTGCAGGTCAACAGTTTATTGGTGCTACATGGAATTATTCATCAGAGTTCCTGTGTATATTGATCACGCCCAACTCTAGTCCTAAAAAGGATAAGCGGTCGCTGCAAATATAACCCGGTCTATAAGTCCGGAGTCGAATCCCACAGAGAACTAAGGCTTAGCTGTATCTATTTAATATCACCAAGAAGACAAGATTGAAAATAAATAAACAGCTGAAAACTAACTATGCTTGAATTGTAAACAATTAGAATAAAGGTCTAAAGTAATGGTTTCCCCCGTTGTTGATTTTCTTGGTTATATGTTTCTTATAGCGTTGACTTAGTTGCCTCTATCAATCATGAGCTCTCCAGCTATCATAAATCTCTCTCAAGCAATTATGATAATTTACTAGACGCACTCTCTCAAGCTACGCTAGCTAGATTCGCATTACAGTTCACTTAGATCGCACTCGAGGTATCGTTATCTCTAATCCAACCTCTAAACCCTCGGTTATGACTCTCGCCTATACTCCGGGAGTGATGTTGTTCAAACAACTACCTAAATATGCACTCTCTCTCAAACAGATACATAATAAATAGGAACGGCTAATTGAGGATCCTTTCAATTAACCACAATCAAAACATAGTTGAACAAATAGAGATTAAACTAATTCAAATCTATATTACTTATAACAACCAATCATCCCCAACGGGTTTCACCAAAACCTTAGATTAGAAAAGTTAGCTACTCATGAAAATAAGAAAAATCACAAAAGAATTCATATTCAAAGGTAAAAGAACAAAGAAGAAGATTAAAGATTGATTCCCAATGATCCTCCTTGCCTCTTGCCCTTCCTTCTGATGTTTTTCACTTCCAAAAATCCTTCTCCTTCCGCTCTTGGCTGGCCTCCCTCGTTTAATATAAGGTTTAGGGCTTAAAATCCCGTGTTTTACACTTTAGTCCCTGAAATTTACTCGTCCTGCCGCGGTCCCACTGCTGTTACGCCAGGACCGCGGCCAGAATGGTCATCT